AAAAAAAAAAACTTTTCAGACAAATCAAAACCCCCAAATTCAAGAGATACAGCAGATAATAATATAAAGAAGAAAATTACAGACGGAAAAAGGTAATATATTTAATTTTGAAATTACCTGAAAAATTCGAAAATCCCTTTTGATATTTTTTGACATGTTTGATCACAGAAGTCAACGAGGAGGAAAAGGCAAGTGTTGATAGCTTTAGAGCTTCACAATTTGTGTCTGTGCCATTTTAATATTCTAGGGTTTTGGGCTAGGGTTGTTAGTCCCTACCAGACTAAATGGACCAAAATGCCATTGGTCTTGTTGACTCGGCCCAACAGCTCCGGTGGACCAATTTGTTAATATTTCCTTTTCTTTTACTTTGGGCTGGAATGAACTCATTCCAGCTTCAACTATAGTGTATATAGTTATAGTTATTTGACTTCTTGACACAAATCATGTGATGAAAGGCGAAAATTGAGCCTTAATTTTGAATTTTTTTAGGGTTTATTTTATGTTTCTTTTAGGGGTTTATCCGATTGTCGATCGTCGGATACACTAAAAGTACTCGGGACCCTAAAATTAATTATTCGATTCAATAATTGACTCAATAACCCAGCGGTTGAACCGGTGATCCGGATATCTGTGCGGGTCGATTTCCGAACCGGATTAAAAACTATGATTATGTGTAAGTTTCTTTTTTGTTTATAGTTTATGGGATTGATTGGATGTCAAAACCGTTTAGCATACTTGAGTGAAAATTTGTCATGGACGAAAGAAATGTAGTAGAAAGATTAATATTTACTTTAATTTAACTGTTGTGATATCAAAACATAAAATAATTAATTATAATGTGATAGAGAAATAGCAATGATCATCTGAGTGAATGAATATCAATTTTTGCAATGAATATATTTATTACCTTTAGTTTATAAATTCCATTACAAAAATGTTAACAGAGTGACGTGAAAAAAAAAAAACGTTTAAATTGGTGGATGAGATAATGATTGGTAAAATATATTCAATTGCACCTTGGTCCTTCGAGTTCAAGTTTAAAAATCAAAACCATTGCTGAAAAATTGTACACAAGTCAAATGACACACAACCAACTACAAACTCAAGCTCCTTTGGATGGAAAATGTACAAAGGAGAACACAAATTGAATGCCAAAAACCACCATCACAAAGAGAAATTTCAATAATCGAACAGGCGAAAAAAGCGACATAAAACGAGCTAACGTATCAGATGACATGGGTCAGCAAGGCCCAGATGGGGAAAGCCAGCAATAGGATAATGCCGAGCGTGTTGGATATGCCATGGCTCTGTGTTAAAGAGTTCCGGAAGCCTCCGGAAGCTCGGATATGCTCCTGCAGAAGATAACAACCGATGGCAAGACAAATTGCCACCCCAACCCAGTGGTCTCTCAGCGTGTGGGCAAAGAAATCGGGCGAAACCACAAGCAGAAGGATCAATGAGCCTGGCATTTCCAGCCAGTCTACATACAACCAATCAAAATAATTCACATTAAGTTCATACTCAAAATTTAATGAATTTAATGTATCTTTAACACAACCCCACTATCCTCAAATATCATTAATATAATTAAATAATACAAACCAATCATTCTTACACATCACATAAACTTCAATTATCTCTTCGTCCGCTCACATGATTTTAATTAACTATCACTTCACATCATTTCTCTCCTACTTTTACACCAAATCAACTTTAATTATTTTATTTTAAATACTATTTTAATATAAGTCCCACTAACAGCTAACCATCAATCTTTTTTCAAAATTAACCTAATCGAAAGCTCTCATTCGAAGCGGATTTTTTTGTCCAGTTGATTTTTTCTTTTCTTTTTTTATATATATAAATCACCCCTACGGAATTTTTTACCCCAACAAAAAAAAAATTAACTGGACAAAAAAAAAAAATATATGTGGACAAAAATAAAAAAAAGCACGTATTCCGAGAATACATTTTACATTTTTTTTGTTGGGGTAAAAATATCCATAGTTATTATGTTTATAAAATTCAAGTTGCATTTTACAACGAAAAATACTGGAGGTCGTAAATCCCAATCCCAAAAGCACGTATAACACAGGTTGGAATCAGTGCTTTACCCTTAATGAGTGGACAAGGGCTCATTACCTGGGAAATGTGTTGGGAAGAAAAGCCTAAGCACAACCGCAACAAACGCAATCCACTTACCAACTTCTCCCCTAAACAATAATTGTCCGGTGCTTAATAATAATAGAGAGAGTTTATCGTTCACTCGAGAGAAGTGAATTTGTATACACGAGTGGAACATAATAGGATAGGAACTGTCACACACCTAAGAAAGTGGAACAGGACATGAGGAAAACTGAGGAAAATATAAGGGATCAGTAGCGAAGTCAGCATGTTTGTTCTCCAGTTTGTCCGGTCCAAGATCAACAAGTAGCTGCAGTTAGAGAAAAATATCGCCAATCATAAACTCGTAAATATAAGTTCTTGGTAGCCACATTAAGTAAACCGAGAAAAAATGTGTTTAAATCAATATTGCTAACAAAGAGACTTAATCTTCTACAATATATTCACAACACGTTAAGGCGATCAAATTCAGATCATAGAAATCCCATCATATAGTCCTTAATCCCACTCGTGATCTTCTTCATAACTATTGCCAAACAGTAAGGCTGTCGTGTTCCCAACGGTTAGACAACTATATTTTTTTAACAAATATGCATACTTTCAAATTGAAATGTCATACTCTAATAACAAAAGTATGTAGATTCATAGCGCCCACAAATTCATTTTTTTTTTTTCCTGATAAAAAGGTATAACGGGTCAGGCTCGTCTACCGGTTAGCCCTCGGGTCACACAAAGAATTTGTGATGCCAATTATATTTGATGATTCACCAGCAACACATGATCACATAATGAGAAACTAGCATATGCATATACAACAAAATTGAAAACACATCTGATGATAAGACTTTCGAGTAATACACAACAAATACTGGTCAGTTTAATCTCCAATTTCATATCTCATCAACCACCCAGCGTCCGCACAGAGAATCAAACAAAACTGAAACAACAAATTTCGAGATAGGGAATACTCACATGGCGGCAAAGGAGGCCACCCATCTGAGGAAGGAAGTGCCGACGGCGCGGCCGCCGAGCACGGAGGCGTGGCCGATGAGCTTCTTGGCGGCGAGCTTCAGTTCGTTTAAATCAGCATCCAGCAGCGCCGCAGCTTCCTGGTCTGTTTTCATGGCCAAATAATCGATCCTCCCCATTTTACCCCTTTCTCTCAAATCTTCTTCTTCTTCTTCCTTAACTTTTCGAGAACAGATCCAAATGAAATTGAGCTCATCGTTGAATGATATTTAAAGGAATTATCAATTATTGTATGTATCCAAAAAGTGGGGCGTTTTTTGCGTGTGCGCGGTTTCATGGATCTGAACTGCTCTCTCGTACGAATTTCTGCGGAACTGTGCTACGTGGACCTCGAGCTCTAGAGATGCCACATGCGTATTTTATTTTCTCTAATGCATAACTAGTATTTTTTCGTAAAGTCTAAAATTAATGAAAAAAATAGTTGAAAATTTAAATACATTTTACAAATATATTATATATTTAGTATAATACTTTTTATTTATGCGACTTATATGTGTTATATTTTATAATATTTGGCTTGGCTGCTCGGACAAGGACAGGAAATTCCAAGCTCTTTCTGTCACGACCTCTTCATAGGCTCGACTAAAAGGAATCGGGGGAGAAATTTTATGTTATATATGGTAATCCTTTTAATATTCAAATGGCCACAAGCAAGCAACAACCGGTCCCGTAACAGTCAGTGATTGGAAAACTCCCTTTTTTTCGATCTTGAGATCGAATTTCAATAGAATTGTTCGAGGGTCCCATTGTTGTGCATCCAGTAGGAATTGAACCTACGAATTCGCCAATTATGAGTTGGGCGCTTTAACAGAAACTTCATTTTTCTTTTTTTCTGTCCAAAGCTTCGAAAAGAAAGCAAGTCCTCGGCTCGTCTTTTTTGCCTGTGGGTTGTCTCGTTTTTTTTCTTAAAGTCTAAAATTAATGAAAAAAAGTAGTTGAAAATTTAAATACATTTTACAAATATATTATATATTTAGTATAATACTTTTTATTTGTGCGACTTACATGTGTTATATTTTATAATATTTTTAGTTACTATAACTATATTAAAAATTAATATATCAATTGATAAATAATTTTATTTTTCTAATGAATTATAATAAATATTATTATTTTTTATTATTATAAAGATAAATATAATTTATTTATTTCATATATACAATATGGATGTCAAATCGAAGATCTCAAAAGATGATTAATTTGATATATATAATATACGTAAAACCGATAAGAAATACAAAAGTTATCAACTTTTAAAATACATTTACAATTCAATAGCTAATTGAATGAAACAAATCGAAGTCATGGATATATTAGTCACTTAGTGTCTCACTATGTAAAATTAGAAATAATTAAAGAGTTATATTAGTACAAGCGATATTAAAATACCTAAGTTGAATAAATTATATTTATGGAATGTCCGAACCTAGATAATTAATTATTAATATATCAATATTATTTGTCCAAACCTAATTACGAAATATGATTCTTCGCCAAGTAGGATTACGAAGCACCAGAAGCAGCCACGTAGGCTCAGCACATTCGAGAATTGTATATAGGGGGATTAATACAAGGTGGTTATTAAAAAGATAATATTTAAATTTGGAAAAATAATAATACTACAATAGTTATGTATGACACAAGTATTCGCTAAAAAATAATTAAAATTATTATTAGAATAAATATTAAAACATACATAGAAGTGTTATTCAAGCCGAACTAAGCCCATTTAAGACCATTTTTATCAGTGACCTAATGAATGAGTCACGACATTAAAAAGAAAAGGAAGGGTGCCATGTCACATTGTGTCGCAACCCCCTTCTATGTGAATACGGAATATTGTCCCATTTTTATTGGGTAAATGTAATTATTTTAGTTTATATTTTTTTTGTAATTCTCTATATATAGAGACCACATTTGATATCTTTTGAAACATAATTGCAATTTTAAAATAAATTAGATAATTTTTTTTTTTTTTTTGAGTTGGGTTGGGGATAACGATAAATTAAGTTATAAAATTGAGTTGTGTAGGTGAAGAAAAGAAAAATATTTTTTAGTTTTTCGGTTGAGTTTGGTTAGATTATGGATAAAGATAGTCTAAACTCATGAAAGTTCGACTCGACTCGTTTGACAAATTCAAATCCATACAAAAGTTATCCTCAAACATGATTGTTAGTTCGCGGATATGCTCGAGTCAGTTGTCCGTTTCAAACGCATAAAAGAAATTAAAAACATAAACAAGTTATTCGGCAACCAACTCGATCCGTTTAATAAACAAACTCGATCAGTTAATTATTTGATCTCCATTCACTTAAATTAAATAAGTAGGATAAACTATAACTTTTAAGAATGAGATCATGTGGCAAATAATATAATTTCAATCACAATTTTTAAAATCAAACCAACTAATAAATTGGGATCTGACGAAACACATCAACCCAAACAAAGCCGTAAAATGTGCCAACATCCCACATTTTTTTTCCGTTGGATAAGTCAAATATTCGCCCGCCATTTTGAAAAAATGACTAACGGGTCGACCCATATTATTGCGGGATAACCCGACCCGAGTCCACAGTCGCCCAAATCAACAACTCCATGAAAAGACAAAAATAACCCCCACATTTACCCCAAATTACACGAGCAGGATTTTGCTCCCGTCGTTATCCCCACCAGCCACCACCGTGCCGTTGTCACTCGCACACGGCCGCGACCTTTCAGTACCTATTTTATCTGTCAAATTTTACAGAGCAGTTTCTTTTAATTCTTAATGCAAAATTGCAACTGGGTTTATTAAAAAAACCAAAAAGGAACAAAAAGTAAAGATGCCCATCTGCAGAAAAATAGTACCCACCACCATTTCTTGATTCCCCACCACCAACCGAGAGGTGGTCTTTCATAATTTCACCTGTTAATCCCTGTTTTTTTATCTGCCATTCTCTCGCAGACTCGCACAGTGCCCAAATACGTTCCTTGCTCCGAAAGTTTGTTTCTTTCTCTTGACCGCTCAAAACCCATGTTCTTGCCCTTACCCCATTTTCGTTTTATTCAAGATTCGTGTGTCTAGTGACATTTTGAAATTTGAAGGGGTTTGATTAGTAAAAAAAGATATGTCGCAGGAAGTGGCGGCTGCAGTCGAAGATGACGCCGACTATTCCTTCGCGTTGGAATATCACGGGCCGCCGGTGACCCGTGAGCTGCCACGGGCGGTGCCCATTAATGTGGATCGGATTCCGGTGGCCGCCGTCGTTTCGCCTCCACCGTATTCAAACACCTTGCCGCTGCCCATCGTGCAGCCAATTCCTGCTACGGAGATAATCAGCAAGAAGCCGTCTAAGGATTCGAAATCGAGCTCATCTTCCTCGGCGGAGCTGCTGGTCGTTTCCCCAACTTCGGTGATTGCATTCGATCCGCGGAATAATGAGGCCAGCGAGGGATCTTTCAGTAAAGAGCTGGGTTTAGGGACGGAGACTAGTGTTTCGCCTAGCTCGATTGACGAAAGAGATGCCGAAAATTGCCTCAATAACGATCCTTCTGTCTCATCCGGTGAGTTGACTAGTGATTTGGAGTGTTGTAATCGTGATGGTGAGTTGACTAGTCGCGATATCTCGTGTGAGTTCACAAGCGGTATAGAGAGCTCGGGGGCTTTAGGCTCATCGTCTGTATTTAGCGTGGATTACCTCTCGTCTAGGGTTTCTTCTAGTAAATTTGGAAATGCAAATCGCGAATCTGATTGGGACGCGAGGCGTTCCTCTGTGATGACTTTCGGTGATATCGAGTCGGATGATGATGATCAGAACACTACTGAGGAGTTTACTCGATCGGAGCCTGAGCTCGTGCCGCGAGTGAGAAAAGAGCCTGCAGTTAGAATCAAGAAAGGAGCGTGTTATAGGTGCTTGAAAGGCAATAGGTTCACAGAGAAAGAAGTTTGTATGGTTTGTGATGCTAAATACTGCAATAGTTGTGTTCTTAGAGCAATGGGGTCCATGCCCGAGGGCAGAAAGTGCGTGACTTGCATTGGGTACCCTATTGACGAGTCGAAGAGGGATTATTTAGGAAAATGCTCGAGAATGCTCACGCGACTTTTGAATGATCTGGAGGTTAGGCAAATAATGAAGGCCGAGAGATTGTGTGAAGTGAATCAATTGCCACCGGAGTATATTTGTGTGAACGGTAGGCCTCTTTATCCCGAAGAGTTGATTTTGCTGCAGAGCTGCTCGAATCCACCGAAGAAGCTGAAGCCAGGAAACTATTGGTATGACAAAGTATCGGGACTTTGGGGAAAGGTGAATGGCGATAATGCTCAATTGTTTTACATTTAATCTCTTTGGTTGTAGTTATTGATTGCACTAAAATTTAAAATTTTCAGGAGGGACAGAAGCCTTCTCAAATTATTACCCCACATCTCAATGTGGGGGCTCCTATTAAGCCAGATGCTAGCAATGGGAATACCAAAGTTTATATAAATTGCCGTGAGATCACGAAAGTGGAATTACGTATGTTAAAGGTCAGCGTTTGGCTTTCATCAGGCATACAATTTGAGGATATACAGTTTCTTCATTTATGTTTTTGGGTTGTTGATATTTATATTCTTGGATCTTTTACAGTTAGCTGGGGTCCAATGTGCTGGAAATCCACATTTTTGGGTGAATGATGATGGTTCATACCAAGAGGAAGGGCAGAAGAACACAAAAGGCTATATCTGGGGCAAGGTTTAATTTTTAAAATTCTTGTGGATTTTTTTTTGTGCACACTCTTATTCTTGGTCTGTCATCTTATCGTTTTGTTACGTTATTGATGATGTTTGCTGTTCAGGCTGGAACAAAGCTACTTTGTGCTGTACTTTCTCTTCCGGTTCCTTCTAAATCATCTCAACCTTGTGGAGAGCAAGTAACTAGCATGAGTAGCCGGAGTATCCCGGAATATCTTGAACAGCGAGAAATTCAGAAGCTTCTCTTGATTGGAAATAGTGGATCTGGGACAAGCACAATATTTAAACAGGCAATGTTTTTTTTTTTTAATTTTTTTTATTACTTTTATCTTATTTACATGAGAAAGTATGTGTTGTTTTGTTGAGAATCTTTTGCCAAGTCTGATTTTGTTGTTGGTTCAGGCAAGAATTCTATACAAAGATGCACCTTTTTCAGAGGAAGATCGTGAGCAAATTAAATCAGTGATCCAGAACCATTTGTATAGTTACATCGGAACAATTCTTGAAGCTCGCGAGCGTTTTGAAGAAGAAAGTTCTACGTCAACAACACTTGCAGGTAAATTTTTTACTTATTTGTTCGCATTTGTTCGAGTGTGTGAAAACATGAAACTCATCTTTATATTTTTGGTTAACAAATAAATAGGGCATATCGGGACTGACGAGGAGAATCCTTATTCCATTTCTCCACGTTTAAAGTCATTTTGCGATTGGCTCCTTAGAATTATGGCATCAGGGACTTTAGAGGCAATATTCCCTGCCGCCAGTCGAGAATATGCACCGTTGGTTGAGGAGCTGTTAAGAAGTTCGGCTTTTCAGGCAACTTATAAACGGAGAAATGAATTGGATGCTCTTCCCAATGTTGCAAGCTATTTCCTCGAGCAGGTAAAGATGATTCGATTTGCAAAATAACCATTTAGCTATGTGAATATATGGCCCTTTTTTTTTCTGTCTTATAATTTTAGAACTATAATTCAGATATTGATATATTCATACAGACTATTTTGCAAACAGTTCATTTTACAGGACCCTTTTGCATTTTGCTATTAATTTGATTTGAAATTGTTTAAATAAATAAAACTTACTAATTATTGTGTCCTGATATTTTTTTCGGTTGGCCCTTGATCAGGCTGTTGAGATACTGAAACCCGATTACAGACCGTCCGATTTGGATATCCTTTATGCCGAGCGTGTTACTTCATCAAACGGGCTTTCATGCGTGGACTTCTCATTCCCCGACTCGACATATGACTATAATATCGACAGTGGTACTCTACGTGATTCCATGCTCAGGTAAATATTTTAATTTTTAACTTGGTTTTTGAAGAAAAAGAATTTTTTTTAATCTGTTTATTATTCTTTTGGCTCGATTGATCAACAGGTATCAGCTGATCAGATTACAAGCCAAAGGATTCGGAGAAAACTGCAAGTGGCTTCAGATGCTCGAAAACGTTCGAATCGTCATCTTTTGCGTCTCGTTGAGCGACTATGACCAATTTGCCCCTGACGCAAACGGTAACCCACAGAACAAAATGCTCTCGAGCAAAAAGTTTTTCGAGAACATAGTGACCCACCCGACATTCAGCCAAGTCGACTGTCTTCTCTTATTGAACAAATTCGACGCATTCGAGGAGAAAATCGAGCACGTCCCTTTGAACCGATGCAGCTGGTTTGATGATTTCCAGCCATTGATGAGCCGCAATCGGTCGAGCAGAAGTCATCATCCGACTTTGGGGCATTTGGGCTTTCATTATATCGCTGTTAAGTTCAAAAGACTCTATTTTGGGCTAACGGGTCGGAAGCTCTATGTGTCGGTTGTGAAGTGTCTCGAGCCGAATAGTGTCGATAGGGCACTTAAGTACACGAGAGAGATTTTGAACTGGGATGACGAGAGGGCGAACATCAGTTTGAGTGAGAATTCGTTTTATAGCTCCGATGAAAGCTCGAACTCTCATTGAAGGCCCATTGTTGTATAGAAGTTAGGTTTATTGACCATTTTCTCTTTTTTTTTTT